GTGCTGCCTACCCAGTTTTATAAACATCACATATGTACTCCTTTGATGCAGCCGTCAAATCGGGTTAACATCACTTGTGGTTAGGTGACATGCGCTGACGTTTATTTATGTAGCAGTGTCTATGACCAGCATCTTCGCGTGTAACAGCCCTTCATATCAGCTTCTGGTGTTGCTAATACGCATGTTTTAGTTGACATTGTTGCGCGACCGGAAACAACTGGTTATATAAACATCTGCAATTCTTGAACGTATGTGTGGGCGTGCAACAGTTGTACATATATTTAGCGTCATTTTATGACGTATATATATATATCGCTCAATAAGAAAAAATTGCAACACAGCTACCTTCCCTTCACAGGCTTCGCGTAATGCCGTTTCCCAGGCACGGGGGATCTGCCGAATTTTCTTAAGAAAAACTACACTCTCGAGTGAAAGGACAGATTTAACCCTGCTGATTCAAGAAATGAACCCTGCTACTTTGAGAAAAGATGTGACAGTCCTTAAAAGCGGACAAAAATAGCACATTTTGGTGAAAAGTGGTGGCAAAGCCACAGGGCTTTTTGAGAGGCCGGGCGAACGTGGTGGCATCATCCTTGATGTGTCGCGTTATCTGCAACAACAGCGCTGCTGAAGTGCGGTCTCATCAGTTAACTCTGGCGGCGAGACGTCACGAATTGAAGTACGGTTAAAGTACGGTTGAAGTACGAGAGACGTTTATTCACGTAGTGCTGGGTTGTTTGTCGTTATTTCACGTATCATGATCTAGTTGCCATACTCATACAGTCGATATACTTACGTGAGCATTCGTCACATAAGCAGTTCTGTCGCAGTCAGGACCAGTTCACGGCGGAAACCATCCGTCGTAGTGCAGCTCAGCTGCACAAAATGAATCGATGATGACGGAAGTTTCCACACACTTACTTTGGGCGCGTTCATGTGGGCACAGCAAAAAAAACTTCTTTGGCGTATTTAAAGCTCCTACTGCCTCCGCTGCAGAAAAAATATATACATATACATCGTGGGACAACGATGTCTGTCCTTTCTAACCACAATGTTTTCTCAAATTCAAAGCTTCTTCAGCTTTCCTTTAACAAAAACTTACAGCAAACGAGTGTAAAGGTTATTGACCCACGTTGTCGTGTCGTGCAAGGCCTGGCACAGCTCCCATGGTCACGGAAGCTGCCACGATAACTGCATCTATCTCTTCAGTGCTCAGACGTTGGTGTCAGGTACACAAAGATATTGAAGGCGTGTGTGCACACCTGTCCATTCACTTGTGGTCGTTGTAACTTATAGATCAGCCTAACTAACTAAACTCTAGGGCAAGCAAATGAACGCGAAACGGACGGGAAGAATCATTGATGGCCGTTTGTGTCACAAACCAATCATCCTTCTTTAGCTAATTGAGAACAGATTTTTTTGATATACCTAACCAGTGACTATGCTGGTATATAGCAGCCATCGACAGTAACAAAGTATATGTGTTGCGATCGCGAAGAAAGGGGCCTTAGCAAACATTAATTGCCACAAAGTAAGCGTTCTCGCGCATCATATGGCTGGTAATTCATTCGGAGTGGACAATAACTAAGCGATCCATGCCCACAGCTGCTAGAACACTACTTGTATAAGCTCTTCCAGAGAAAATCAACCATGTATGTGATCTTACTGAATAACTCATAGAATTGTTTCTTTTTTTTCTGGCACGCAGTCATCTTGTACTGTCCTAGCTTTCAGAAGCGTCGTCTACTTAACGTTGACCGTTATTTGAAAATGAAATGGTTTTACCCATTTCCGGCTCCTATAGAAACAATTACACTTCTAAAAATTTAAATTGGTGTGGTTATTGTTGTTGTTTGTTATGCCGTGAAATGACCTGTAGAAGATCAGAGGACGCCAAATGCACTAACTCGACCGTTTTTGAGCGTATTCGTCTACCACAGGAGTAATAATCAGTTGCGGCCGCGTGCAGCCAATGAATCTTCTGGTAGCGGCCCGAACCCACAGATGACTGTCTTTATCTAACATGCTTTGTGACGGAATTTTCTAAAGTTTACTCAGTTTTACTGGCACTGCTTTATCGCCTATTGTGAGTATTAACATTTGTTCGGGCGTGCTACACACCTGTAACTGGCCTCAGGCATACTTTTTGCAAGGTGGCCTATCATGAGGTAGAAAAATTTGTGTTGGGGCTAGTTGGAACACAGTGTAGGCAAGGGCATCGCTGCAAGGTTGAGGAGAGTTGTTCTTTATTTTTTCTTGTCCTCAGCTTAGCGGCACAGCTTTTACCTACACTGTTGTGAGGTTCCCATTTTTTCTGATGTTGCCTATTGTTCCACATAGTTACTGACATACATGCAATCATCATTCTTGTAGGGCCAAAGTGAACAATGGTTGCGTTATGGGCCCCAGTGCTATTTATGACAAGCTGCGCTACTTGATTTTTTAAAGTTGTTGACCAACTTGATTAGGGACCATTTGAGGGAGTAAAGGTTGTTGGACATTGGCCGTGAGCTTCAACTGCCCAGAGGGTTCCGAAGTCCACTGCGTGATGGTGTGCGTAGAATTAAAATACATGCATTGGGGCTACAGCGAGCAATACTTGTTGGAATCATACCGTACTCTCTTGTGGTCCAGGTACTGTAATTGTGACTTGGAAGTTTTGTATTGTCCATTAGTAGACAGTATTTTAAAGCGAAGGCTGTTATGAAATCGCAACATAGGTCAGGTACGGCGCCACCGCTGGTGTCCGCAACCAATGTCGCAATAAATAAGAAAGAAACTCTAGAAATAGAAAACACCTAGGACGCAATGGGATTACAATCCGGGTTTGCTGCGTGCCTGCCCAGTAATCTACCACTGAGCCGCGCCATTGCTTGGAACTCGTTTGTAAATTTGTCTTGGGCGGGCTTGATGCGGGGAAAGAAATCGCGTTAATATGAGTAATAAAGCGTTTTAGAAGAGCAAAGCAACAACCAGGCGTCACACAATGCGAATTGTGTAACGAGTGAATTGTCAAATGCTCCAACTCATTACAAAAGCTTGTCCTTGATCATTTATTAACTGCGGCGCATACCCACATCAGGCATAATTCTGCATCGTTATCATCTCCTGCATGAGAAAAATAGCCGGAAATTACTATAGCAAGTGTTTAGCGGATACCACGCTCCTCTCAACATTGACGAAGAATATCGTAGGGAATGCCGGCATACTACCCAAAAATTGTGATTATTTATGGCGTAGTGGGTACCTAGAAAGTGTGGTTGTAGCAGTTACTCAAAACGTGTTTAGAAAAGGCTCTGAAAGGCCGCTGTTCCAGCTTTCGCTGTGACTGTGCTGCGTGTTCTGCGCAGGCCTGGCGGTTTCTCGTTCAGGCATAGGACTAGCAGCAGCACTAGTTCCCTGATTACCACAAACTATACTACAAGCTTGAATGTAATCAAGTTGAAGAAGCCGGCAATATTTTCAACTTCATTTCAATACATTTCTTCCAAATATTTGCGTGCAGTTTATAGCAGACGCCTGAAACAGCGTGTTTCGTACATTCGCTTCAGAAATTACTGTTTAAGAAACAATTGAGAGCACCCTGTGCTATTCTTTTCTGTAGTTATTTGTTTGTCATCAATATGTTGCATTGTAATAATACCACAAATATTTTAATTATTTAAAAGTGGCGACAGGATGCTTTTTACCAACTACAGGCCATTGTCTTTGACGTGTGTTTGCTGTAAGGTTTTTGAACACGTCATTGCCAAACAGATGGCTATTTTCTTGGAGACAAATGGGCTGATATGTAGGCAACAGCACGGGTTTAGGCAAGGGCTTTCCACGTTATCCCAACTGATTGAAACTCTCCACGATTTTGCCGCTGCCGTAGATAACAGAGAACAAGTCGACGTGATATGCATAGACTTTGCAAAAGCCTTCGATAAGGTCTCCCACCATAAATTGCTCTTCAAGCTCAAACGAATAGGCGTAAATGAAAATATCCTGAAGTGGATTGAAGCATACTTAACGAACCGCAAGCAGTTGGTACGAATTGATGGGTTTGAGTCTGAATTACTTGATGTTTATTCCGGTGTGCCCCAAGGCTCCGTGTTGGGCCCATTGCTGTTCTTGGTGTATATAAATGATGTTGTTGACATTGTTAACCCTCCTGTAAAAATTAAATTGTTTGCTGATGATTGTTTAATCTATGCCCCAGTGACGTGTGCGAATGACCAAAATGTAATTAATGATTGTCTTGATGATTTTCAAACATGGTGCGATAAATGGGAGATGAAAATAAATTATTCTAAGACAACATATACGCATATAACTACCAAGAAACACGTTTTACCATTTACGTACAGCATTGCACCTAATTATTTACCGCAGGTGTGTGCATTTAAATATTTGGGAGTGCATATTACGAATGATTTGAAATGGCGTGCACATGTCGAGAATGTATGCTGTGCCTCTTACAGAAAACTGCGTTTCTTGCGTGCTAAATTACCGAATGCTACGAAAGACGTCAAGCTGCTTGCATATAAAACATTTGTGCGCCCTGTTTTAGAATATGCTTGTGCTGCCTGGAGCCCCCACCAAAAGGATTTAATAGATAAACTGGAACGAATTCAGAGACTTTCCGCGCGATTTATATGTTCGAAGTATAAAAGGACTGATTCGGTTACTGAGATGTTAAAACTAAGTGGTTCGCCCCTTCGGTGCTCGCACGGACGTCTTTCGCAAATCTTTTTTCCCTGATGTTATAGAAGCGTGGAACAAATTGCCGCGACATATTGTTGAAAACTCTGACGTTAAAAAATTTGAATGTGCTCTTGATGTTTACTTTGCCGAGCAATGAATATGCTATTGTGTTATTGTTCAAAGTTGCTGAAAATATCAATGTCTGTATTTACTTTCCATATCCTATGCTTCCCTCCCTGTAATGACCCTCAAGTGAGGGTTGACAGTATAAATAAATAAAAAATTACAGCTCCCACCAAGACAAAAGACAGTCATCATGAGCTATATATTTTATTTCCACTGCTGGACGCATGAAAATACCAAATAGTGATTGAATGGCTGAAATGAATTCCATTCGCCAGCGAGGAATGTGTAGCCACTGCTACCAAGATTATATAAGGCAAGCCTCACCGCAAGAAAATAAATCAAATGCTTATGAAGACAGAAAGTTGAAAAACAAAGAACTCAAAAGCCACACTACCACCTAACATTATGCGTGTGCTTGTTTAACACTCCTTTCGAACAATAATATGGCAAGTCCTGAATCTATACCGTAAATACCTGAGCACTGTCTACAGTTAGGTATTTGCGTGTAGCCCCAATTTAGCAAGCTTTGGAAGAGATCCGAGCGCTGCGTTGCGTGCGACCAACGCAACGTTAGCATATTCGCGCTAGATCTGATTTCTCGATATTGAACAAGTATATCGAGTCTGATAAACAAGTGTGGTACACTGAAAAATAAGTGGTATGGATGCAAAGTCAAGTCTACAAAAAATTACTGTTCTCGCTCTTCGTAATACCAAGAGATTACAGCGCCACTCTCAATAAGTGAACCGCTTGTAGATAAAATATTTACATAACAATTCAAAGCAAGCGCCACAGCAGCCTAACTTGTTTTCACAATGTTTACACTATTGAAAACAAAAAGCTGCTACTTAGTATCCGTAAGGGCAGCCAGACACAACGTCTTAGTTTAGGCACAACGTTCTGTAAGAAGCAACCTATGACGATTATGTTGTTTTTTATACTCCATGGTCAGTCACGTTTATTATACAGAAAAAGCACTACATTATAATTCACCTTAAGTCGCAAGTAGCTTTCGCTACAGCCCACTAGCAGTGCTGACTGCTAGTCACAGCGTCTCGTGGCACTTAAAGGAAAAAAATAATTTCTTCGGCCATTACTGTGTTGCCAGTTTGTTCAATCTCATATCTGAGCCCTTCCTGCGGCTCCAGGAGCCAGTGGTGAATGAATGGCTCGAACTTCCAGAGGTCGGGGTGTCCCTCGTGGCGGTCCTTGAACCCAGATGTGCTCCAGCGGAATGGGGGCTGCTGCGTCCAGGTCGGTCCGCTCACAGAGACGAACTCGAGCTTCTCGAACAACAACGAGTTTGTGAGCTGAAGATGAAAGCCGAGACAAAAGTATGGCATAAAGGAAAATGCATGCCAGCCATGAATAAAGAGCAATCGCTTTGATTTACTCGTGTGTGTTACAAGGAGTATGCATTTAAGCATATAAGACAATTACCTCACTTATGAATCGACTCACTAGATCTCACTCAGACTGAGGTTGACCCGTCAGTCTGAGTGAGTCAGGGTGTGTTAATTTTTAACAAGATTGAGTCCGGTTTAGTACAGTTGAACAAAACTTTCGTGAGTGCGAGTCCGAGTGAGTCCCGAGAGCAAAATATATTTTGTGAGTGAGTTTTAGGGAGCTCCACTGTTTTCGCCGCCATTTTGTTGCACAAAAACAGTGAAAGGCTCACTTTCTTATCTTGATCTGCTTATCTACAGAACAGTAAAGCTGCGAATTCAATAGAAAAATGGTCATGATGATGTCACTTGAATACTCAGCAATACTCAGCTGAATGACACCAACAAACAATAGAACAAATAAGGCAATTAAGTTTGTCGCATAAAATCATTTTTGGACTTCTCCATATTGTACAAACGGAGAACTATGTTGATAAACGGCTGCGTTAGAACTGTCTTTAAAATTACGATTCGCCTTGGCATTTGTATCTCAGTGTGCCATGTCTGGTTTTCCGAACACCACTTTACTCTTTAAGCACCATGACATGTTCACACGGGGAGTCTCGGAAGCTTTTCAAGCTATAGCAAGGTTTGTTAATATTGTGCTTGCCCAACTTCAGTGATGCTGCACAACAAAGCAGCCTTCTTTTGATGAGCTCTTTTTTTTTTTTTTTTTTTGAAGTCGATCTTACTTCAAATGCACAGTTTTACACTCATAAGTTCATGTTGGCTGAGAATTATGGTAAGGAGTTATTTTATCAAAAGGCCCAAAACGAACAAACATTTATTAGACGGGTGGCTCAAGCAGATGTCTTGACTTCTAGGTTCGAACTTATCGGCCTCTTCTTCTCTCAACGCGAACGCAAAGCATGCCGCCCGCTACCCCCTTCCATAGACGGGGCCCGGACAACCAACCTACGATACACATAAAAATCAGGCGAGAAACAAGAAAACGGAGAAAGAGCATGACGGTACAGGCCGGCACTAACAACTGATTAAATCATGCTTGAAACAAAAGCATATTACTACCGGGCACCACCATGCACGTGGGTGAAGCAGCCATACGTCATATAAAACACAATATTACCGAGATATGACGGCGTCAGTGAAGGTCATCTCCTTAGCCTACAGGTGCACTAACGTGTCACTGACGCCATTCGCACAATCTTAGGTCGGGGAATGATCGAGAACGAAAGAGAAACTTCGGGAGCCTTCTGCCTCAAGAAAGGGGAAAAGAATTGCGTCATTGACGCGTCAGCGTATCCGGAGACGCCGTGATATCGCGTTAGTATTTTGTTTTAAACGACGCATGGCTGTTTCACGCATGCACGAGGTGGTTGCCGGTGGTAATATGTTTTCGTTTCACGCATGCTTTGATCAATTGTTATTGCCAGCCTGTGCCGTCGTGCTCCTATACTGTTTATGTGTTTCCCGCTGACATTTTATGTGTATCAACATGTACCGGCTAGGCCAGTTCATCGTCTTGGCATCACATACAACCTTCGATTTACACGTTGAAGAAAGAGTGTTTCTTCACTCGCCGCATGGATTACAATTCACTCTGGCTAAGACTTCCCAGGACTCATCACACAGCAATGCCCAATAAAGTGGCCCAGGGAGTGTGCTCCGGCGTATAGCTTCATCGGTACAGCTTCGGACGCGTTCGGGTTCAGACTTCCCAGGCACAAGATGTGGATTTCCGTCAATTATAACTAACTGCACTCTGTGTCGCAATTCACCACCAGCATCATCATCACCATCAGCCTGACTACGTCCACTGCAGGACAAAGGCCTCTCCCATGTTCCGCCAATTAACCCGGTCCTGTGCTTGCTACTGCCAATTTATATCCGCAAACTTCTTAATCTCATCTGCCCACCTAACCTTCTGTCTCCCCCTAACCCGCTTGCCTTCTTGTAGTGTCGCAATTACTACACTACAATTGAAATGGAGCAAAAAAAAAATAATGTACCCTACATTCGTGTGGCGGAACTGTCTGCTGGATTCATTTGTGCAACACAAAAGGCGTACATTTCAGTTGAGTGAGAAACCAAGTGCAAGGTCTCCACTAAATGAGAGATAAATATCTTTCTAAGTACGCATTGTGTGCTGTATCTTGAATTGTTTCGTAGGACAGATTGCAGGGTTAGTTCGTCTCATATCTTGAATATGCTGACTTAGTGCAAATGAAAGTTTTTTTAGCTGTTATCGTCGCCATCGTTGTCGTCAATGCATTCCAGTCACGATAATACCAGCAGGACCATCTAGAGAACGCTCCGCTCACAGCTATTCGAAACAGTTAATAGGGCACAGTTAGAATAACTAATTCTTTTTCTATCTCCCTTTCTCTCGTCAAACATTATGCGCGAGGTCAAAGGTGTTGAATATTTTTTAGACTGTACCATTTATATAGCGAGTCAGAATGTGGTGCCATCCACAAATCAGAAGTGGCAAATTGCCGCATAAATAAGCGTTTTGTCAGGCTGGTGAATTGCAATAAACACGTTACAAACATCAAAACTAAAGCAAAAGAATGTGGTGCACCTTCATATCGGTTCCACCATGTGGCCTATGTCCCAGAGACTGGAACGGGTAGACGCCGTCGGCCGGATTCAAGTCGCTACGTGCAGAGATGGCGTTCTCGGCGCTGTACGGCGGTGTGCAGTTGCAGCGCGACAATGGGTCGTTCTTGTAGTCATTGTACCTGGAGAGGCACAAAAACAATGTAGGTTGGCATTTACATGGTCTAAGCCTTCAGCTTACGCGCGTTTGCATATTGGTTCATCCTGTCACTTCATGAATGTCATAAATTCTATGTCCCATGGAATTCCAAAGCAACGCAATATAATGTGCCTATCTGGCAACACGGCTATTTCTAGGTTCGCATCTTATCCATTTTAGGGGCAAAGCTCTGTAAGATCTAGCCTTGTCTTTTGTTTCGACCATGGTATAGAACCGTTGCTGTAGTCAAAACATATGTGAGACACAAAAGAAAACGGTTTACGTCGACATAGAATTAGAATACATCTATACTTACACAGAGACATAGGCTAACTACAAAAATAGATCACTGTTTCCTGCGAAAATATCCTATCGAGAGAAGCATTCACGAGCTGATCTCTACTAAAATGAACCCAGATGTTGTGGCTTCTTAAGAGGACCTGTAACACAAAGACACACGACAAGTGCTTTATGTCCTAACTGATTATTCCTATTAGAATGGTATCTTGCGATTGGCAAGATGGTGGATTCTTGGATTCACTTACGAGGCAACACCTTCACTCCAGCAATTTTTCAAGTCCTCCTTCAATTACCTAGGATGGCTAGAAGGCGAAATAAATGTAAATGTCTATATAAACCTCAATCGATTCACAATATATGAGGTGACGCTCGTGAAACGTACGGTTAATCACTGATACTATATTCAGAGCTTCACACGCTCGTCATGACTTATTTCGTGGAGCTTCGTGGATTTTTTAAAGACGATAGTCTTTCTTGGGATACTTGAATGCAGATGTTTTGGTATGTATGTCTGTCTCTCTGTTACACGATCGAGCCACACAGCCAAAGTTTAAGCACCTGCTGAATGCCTAGCCATCTTGAACTGGGGGCTGCGTTCATACTTGTGAATATTATCCATCAATAAGCAAATATTCCGCATATATGCGGCGCAACATCAATACGTATTAGGTGGTATGTTCATTTACTATAGATTTAAAGTTACGCATTATATAAATGCGTAATTCTAAAGACCGTAGTGTTTTTTGTTTGTTTTTACGCCGCGCTTGAAATGTGGCGCTATCAACGAAGAATTTCTTCACCGGCGATATAGTGCTGCCACTTGGCAGTGGCCATGGGTTCTGCACAAGCTCACGTTTCCCCCAACACTGCCAGGTGACCTCCGTTCTCAGGCAGCGCCTCCTCTATTTTATAAATGCCATCCAGCTGCGGCCGATTCAACATAAAGGAGGCACTGTCTGAGAGAAACCAAAACATAAATAACCACTTGGTGAAATGCAACGGTGAAATACAACCCTCTCTACATGGCATGCCCCAGGACTCGTGTACTACGCCCGGCAGAAAACTATCATCTTTCGACGACGTTTGCAGGGAAGCACGCAGTTGCGCAGCCAATTTTTATTTATTTTTTCTTCTCCTCTCGCCCAACATCCAACTTTTATCAAGGGAGGTGAGAGGGACACAAGATTGTGTCATTACGTGAAGTCGGCAGTTCCTCGGAAGAAGCTACGAATTCTTGTTTGTTTGTTTGTTTGTTTGTTTTTGTTAGTTTTCTTTCGTCTCTATTCGTGGACGAACGAAGACGGGTGCGACACACCAAGCAAGTGTTTTACAGCTCCGCTGTTAAAAGGCTCACACTATGTAGTTGCGCTGTTACCATTCGTGCTCTTGCGGTGAGGCTGCTTACCTCATCAGATTCATCATGGACTCCATGTCTACAACCTTGTGGTGATCACGCATGAACATGAGAGCCCGCGGTGTCCGGTCGTAGGTGAACCAGTCGCCGTACTTCTCCACCAGCCTCCACCATCCGCTGACGTTGAATATGAATTCGAAGGCGCTGCGTAAAGCCGGATTGTTTTTTAAGTGCGGCTGACACCAAAATATACCTACAACACAGACATAAGAACATTGAAAATTATTTGACCGCAGGCCCCTTTGTAGCTAATAGTAACGAAAGCAGTGAGATGGATAGAAACTTTCTTTTAGAAGAAGAGAGACTGTAGCTGGTGCCCTCTGCACCCCAGTACTGCTACTCTGTATTTGTAGCGTAAATGGTCTTAAATATGCCAGAAAATGGAGAAAAAAATGACTGTGAAACATTAAACAAATAATTATGAAAGGTGCAAGTGAACATGATAAATAATTAAGAGATCCTTAAGCTTCGTTTTTAAGAGTTGAGCGCGACAGCGATATCCGGTCCCGATTGCGTACTCCAACAACTTGCTGCATGCTTTTTATTGCACGATTTCACAACACGAAGTTTGAATCGTGCATTACTACAATATAATCGATAAAATTGAAAGTGGCTTGCGTCAGTGAAGCTTTCGCATATGGCTGCATTCTGTGTAATGGGTAGCATGCTTTGAACTATGAGCAATTGTGTGCGTAAAAGCTTTTCGAAGTTGCTATACACCCACTACGTGCACGGTCTAAAAGGAGTATGGCCATTAACGTGTGTGCCTTTTGTAATGGGTGGACGTTTTTATACTACGAAGTCATTAGGTTAACCACAAAATATTTAAACCTAGGATGTAAGGTAAGTTAAGCCTTTTCTACGTGAGATCGTCAATCATGACAGCTCAATTTGCGTTGTCCATTAAAGCAAAAGAGGTCCAACGTTGACACTATAGGCTTTCTAGGAAAATTGGGAACGTCGGCATGAACTAAAAAAAAGGAATTAAGCGCCATCCTTCGGTTACACGAATGATCATCATAGCGATAATTAACTCGAAGGCAAACACGCTGTAAGCAAGAAATAAGTTTATGCAGTGGCAAGAAAGACAGGGTAATATTAAAACCAGCTGTAGTCACTGGATGTATAATACATCCTTCTCCAATCTATCCCACTTCTGTCGAAAGCTAACGAGGTAATGTTATAGAATGCCCACGATAGAACATTCGAAAACACACCAATGGTAGCAGCATTGAAAACTGTGGCGGAAACGAAAAGGATTCGCCATGCTTATTCAAAAGCTTTACTTCCATCATTCTGCTTCGTGTATTGTTTAGCATTCTTTAACTGGCAACAGGCGAACACCGAGACTTGCATTAGCCGTGTTTCGATAAGGTCTAAAGAGATGAAACGCAATATTCGCCTAATTAGAGCCACTAAACAGTTTTTCAAGCTTTTTCAACTATTGTGTCATCAGGGCTTAAAGAAAAGCTACCCGATCTACAGTAAAAAAAGGCGACGTTGCCGGAAGCCTCAAGAAAATCAACACTATTGTGCATGGCCCCTTTGTCATAAAGTGTCTTCCTTTTGTTATACTTGTCCATACACGCCACGTTTTCGGCGCACATGTTGCGCGCCCTAAATCTTCCGTCCTTCACACGTGCTAGCTCTTTCTGGTGTCACAGATACGCTGTTTCATCAGATGACATTGTTCTCTGCGAAGCTGGGACAAAAAGTGGCTTTCAAAAAATACGAAACCTAAGGCGTTCTAAAGAGAAAGGACGTTGTGTTGAATGGTAATGGCATGATAGCGATGTAAATCGACAACGCGTACGACACGTTCAAAAAAAAAAGACACTCAACGTGGGCTAAGTACCATGGCCCGTATACTAGAAAAAAAAATCACAGCATATCCACTGATTGAATGATGATGAGTGGGGCGAAGCGCTGGAGGGTTTCATCACTAAAATGTGAACCATCTGTGAGTTTCGCCCACTACATCATCAAAGACGTGACAATTACTTTATATATTTATACAATAAATTTTATTATTGGTTAGTGGTTGCTATACGTCGCTTCCGTTCCTCCTTCATTATAGCGGCTTTATGGTTGGTAAAGTGATGGATTGGTGATGGGGCTTAGCGGAACGTTTGCGAGGACGAAGTAGAGGGCACTTTTCAAAGGTGGAAAGGTGGAACTATAAGTGGTCACGTAGAAACAAGGGATGGACACAGTGGCAAAATCTATGGTTCTTTCACGCGCGCCTGGATACAAGTACACGACCATCTTGCATTTCATATTGGCTACTTCTCGACAGCGTTGGCTTTATAGTCGCTGATGTGGTGAATCGGTGATGGGGCGTAGTGGGATGTTTGCAAGGTGTCTACATATACCGACGGAGGAATGACAGACCCCCACCCTAAAGATCGTCACCCCTAAAAACTTTTTTTAACATCCAAAAGGTATCGAAGCTCTACAAATAAGCACAATAAGATAGCAGTGCTGAACCGTCAGAACCATACTCACGTTGTATAATCAAAACTAACAGGATGTGCGTAACGTGAATGGCGCACCCTGTTCAATATCTACACAGGTCTCCCTGGTTAACGCCTGTCCGCTCTCCTCTCCTTGAGAGGCGTCTTGTGCAATCCACGTTCACGCAGGGAGGCACAGCCCGATAACACTCGCGGCACGGATCAACATGGGTCACAAAGCCACTGGTCCAAAAAGACTTCATCTTGTGCTTGAAACATACTCTTACGAGAATTTTCGAAAAAAAACTTATTAGGCTCTAAATGTTGTCGTTGAAGCAAGTTTCAAGCAACCAGGATGTGGAACATATCATTAGTGAAGTCGAATGGCCAATTCCAAAATACATTTGAAGGAGAGAAGTGTTGTGACTTCGGCCCCTCGTCTCTATTGCACCCAGTTTTTTTTAAAAAAAAGGTGAAAATCGCACTGTGCAGCGCAGGGCTTCAACTTAAACAGCACAACTGAAAAATTCTGAAGACTAACTTTATCACTTCCAGAGAGAGAGAGAAGGGATATAAGAAACGTAGGGATGTTAACTAGCTGTTTCTAGGTCTTAGCTAGAGTATGCTGGTTGTTTCTACGTTGACTCAGCGCAGATAGGTTCGAGACGCTCACAGACGCGACAGGGATGTTCTAACTCCTGAGACAGAAACTTGCCCTGAAGCCGAGCGTTCGCAACTCCCGTCAGTCTACGAGCACATAGTCGTTTACGTACGCCTTCCATAGCTTCGTTATCTGCTCGCAATCGCCGCTCCTTTTCCGTTGTGCTCGCTTCGTTGTAAGTACTCGGGTACTTCTGCTTACCGCCATCGCTTCGCAGCTATTTGTTAGTGGGCTGGCTGTTGTTTCCTTCTTTTATATGAAAGCAGTGTTGAGCCGATGTACCCAATTTCTGAGGTACGCATCTGTTTATGGTTATGATAGTTGTTTAGCCCGATGGACCACGAACGATTTGCCGAACGGCTTTGCCCTTCGTATCGAAGAGCACAACCGGCCCAGAAAAAAACTGGCCCTTCCGGTCGTTTTTTAAGTACCCGCGGCCTGCAGTTTCCGTGTGCCTTGTATCTTTTTATCAAAGTTTAGATATGACGGCGTCTCCTTCTGCGCGACTGCACTGGCTGAGTGGTGCAGTACGCATGACGTTGGTTCAATCGAGGCAACGTTCTTAGCGCACACATCTTTCCGAGTTTTCCCGTGTCGTACGCACTGGTAACTCGCGAGTAGCATGAGTAACGCCTAAACAGGGATACGGTGAGGTGAACTAGGGTTATCAATAGGTGGTGTGTGTTAGAATATCGCCGAGCTTGTTGGTGGAAGGGAAAGGATTGTCGCCTCAGTTAAAGCCGAAGCTCTTCGGATACCTATTGAATCGCTATATTCGCAGGAAGCTGACAGTGAACTTTTTTCGAATTATCACTAGGCCACACATCTTTCCCCGTCATTTCAATTATCAAAATAGTGAAGCTTAAACGAAAAACTAATTCCTACGTTTCAAAAAAAAGTAGAATTCACAGAACTACAGTTTCGTTAACACGTTTTCCTCATTTGTAAGCTCCTTAACTAATATTTTGAACTATATTATGATTCGCTGAAATGTTCTTTAACGCAATTTTTTAGCATGAGATACTTTCGTGAATGCGAGTCCACATCTCCGATATAGCTATAAGACATGTGACGCCATAGCTCACCAAACCCATTCATGTATCGACTCGCCCCGACAAACTCAGATGGTTTCATGAAACGGATTCTCAGTCGGCCCAGGGGTATTCTTTTTATGAATTCGAGTATGAATGAGTCTGTTTGAAAAATTCATAGCGAGTCGGAGTTGGAGTGAGTCCGGTCGAAGACAATATTCGTGATTTAGAGTTCGAATGAACCCTAAACACAAAATAAATTTCGTGCGTGACCGAGCTACTGTTTCATTTTTTTTATTTGTTGCCACCCTGTAGACAAACGGTAAGTAGTGTAGAACGGCAAACTTATGTTCACCTCTCGGGGTACGCCTATACTTTCATCTATTTACGCAACTATGCTTTTATTTAGCTACCATGAATAGTGCGCTGGAAAAATACCGAGAGATATAATAAAGACATGGCAGTTAACTGGACGTAGCTAGAATTATGCTTCTTTGTTATGTCTATAAAAGCACGTTACTTTGTTTACATGACGGATATTCATGTGCAATATGTTATGTGTGCATTATTTTTCTGTTTTGTTTTTCGTTACCACCTTTTACACTGTAACACGTGTATGGGGGCAAGGACATCCTCAAGCTAGTTGTATCAGCTTTTTCCCCCTGGTCGCACACAACATTTTGATGTAAACAAATAAATGAATAAATCAATTGCTACCTTGTGCAGGGGAAGGAGGAAGCAAGGTGAAAGACGGGGAGGAAAGACCCAACTCTTGCCTGTTACTTGAAGTCTTTAGACAGTGATTACCCACTGTTTGATGCATGCAAATATATGGGTGGAAACTCACGGCACATTGTAGCTCGCCCAGTAGGTCTCGTCACGCAGAGTGTCGGTGGCATCCGTCACGTTGATGTATTCACTGGCGAGACATGTGAGAAATGGGAGGAGAGAACGTGGAGAGAAATATGTATGTACACACAATATAAAATAACATACTCTAGAAGGAATTCGCACGCAGGAACACTGTTTACGGTCCCACAATCGTAATTATTCTAGTCATCATTTCTCAAGAGGATGTGAGGAATAGAGAAATACGATTGAAAATAACTGAACGCCAGTACAGGTCCACTGAAAGAACAGAGACTGGTCATCAGACAGGCTTAGAAGTTTCAATGTTTCAGCAGTGCCCCAGGCTCACAGCTCTTATAGGTATAGGTAGGTGCAGGATGTTTCAATGATTCGTTTGCCAGAGCAGTAGTGCGAATCTCGAAAAAAGAAACGCTCAGGCATGACGTAGCCTAAGTATAGGTTTGTGGTTTTAGTTCCAAAAATTACGATATGATTAGGATACATTGTAGTGAGGAACTCCGCGAATTTCGACCACCTAAGGTTTTTATAGCGAAAGCTGTATATCGCTAGGGGAAACGTAAAACCATCCGCAAGCGGTATCACGAGCTGTCTACGTTGGGTGTGTTATCAGTAACGTTGGTAGCAGCCTCGTACCCAAGCACTAGCGTCATTGGCTGCGTTCTGAGTGACATCGTCTATCCCGCTAACCGTGGCACTGAACACGCGCCCATCAGTTTCTCCTGAAACTTTCTACGTGGTTAAGCCACGGACAACTCCAGGAGAACGCCGACCATAGAAACGTGAGAGAGCAAGCATTCGCCGGGCCGATGGTCCAGTCCGGGCACAAAAAACTGCAGCATATCCACGGAGGGCATTATGATGAGTGGGGCGAAGCATCCGTCTATCCGTGCGTTCGTCCCTGCGTCCGGCGATGCGCCCGTCCGTACATTCATCTGTGCGTTCATCTGTCCATCCATCTATAGTGAACACTCCAAGTACCGCCATCTCACATCTTTTCATCGTATATTAATCATATAGAAGTACCGCCACCCAGCGGACATTCCAAGGACTAAACGAGAGGTGGAACGACAGGACTAGAGGAGTGGCACGCGCGCACTGTCTTACGGCCTGCGCTTCCTGTCTAGTTCCCACCTTTCACCGCCGCTAGTTCATGGCACTGCGGCCCAACCTCGCTAAACCTTGTAAAACCAAGGAGGTTACGCCCAGCGAGTTTATTGTGGCAACTTTTTCTAGTCAGATAGTGCTCAAAGTGCGTCCTTTTAATACTAGTATTTTTTAGTAAGCACAAAATTCAAGGCAATGTTGTTGTTTTTTTATTATTGAGATTTACCCCCGTATTCACAAACGCTTCTCGACTCGATTTTCACCCTCCACTTGACAGAGTTGAGCACTGCGCCACCACTCGGCTAAAAATGTCGCTGGGCTATTCAAGAATCCCAGTAGACTATCGTGTATATGCAGTGACTTGCCGTACCTAGAGATGGCGCTCCCGTCGGCTTTCTCAAGTGAAGTCGAAGCGTTGAGTGAAAGGAGGTTCTAGAATACGGGGGTAAGTCACCGATACTCGTCTCTGTAGGTTATTTCATCAGAAACAACTATCTTTTTATTTATGATTAACGTGCGCAGGTTTCTATCTCAAATCAAAAGAGTGTGTGTATGTCGCTTCTCTTAGTCCAACCACGGGGTGGCTACCTACTACTACTACTACTACTACTACTACTACTACTACTACTACTACTACTACTACTACTACTACTACTACTACTACTACTACATACATACATTGCAGACGCACGACTCACGCCTTAAGGAGCTTCACTCCCTAAAAACAGTACCGAGAGGCTGAGTGCAGGCAGGAACTGCGTACTGATAATCCGGCAGCCTTTCAAGCCACACTGAATCGCGAACGGTAATGCTAGCACCGGTGGCCGGTGTTCCTGCAACCCACGCAGCCTAGTTAGCTCGTCATGTCGAACGCCTGCAACAACGCCGCACTGCGGCGTTAATGTGATGACTGCGCGAGCGCGTTCGACGGTGCGAACGCCCACTCGTCGCGAAGTTTCGTGAGCGGCACATCGGCTTCGGCTTGGACGTCTGCGACTACCTCTGGTTCCAGAACAGCCACTGTGATTAACGACACATTGAACCGCTCACTACCCTCCTCTACGACCATGATGATGCAAGACACTATGCGGGGCATGTGAAATGAACACTGTGGTAAACCCAAGCGAAACATCTGTCTAACCTCATTAGGAAGCACGAACGTGTAACCGATAATCGTGAAAGGCTTCAGTGCCGCGTCGTGTTGAATTCACTGCTAAACACCGGGGCCACACGTTTCAGCTTTCGCTGGTTAACAATTTGTACGGAGTGCATGGGTGGTGATTTTGTTAACGTGCACCTAAATCTATGTACATGGTCTTCAAGCATACTGGCCTCTACAGAAATTGCAGCCGCCACGCCAGGATTCGATTCTGGGATATTTGGTTCAGCAGTCGATAAAACTAACAACTTCACCACGGAGGAGGATATGAAATAACCTATACTATGTGCGGATACTTAAGAGGGCCAACAAATTGGTTTGTTAGCAGTTAATTTAAACAATAATTACTATTCAATCTTATTGGTTTAGTTAGTTAGTTAGTGTAGTTTGTTGTGTTTGTTAGTTAGTTAGTAGTAGTTAGTTAGTTAGTTAGTTAGTTAGTTAGTTAGTTAGTTAGTATTAGTTAGTTAGTTAGTTAGTTAGTTAGTTAGTTTTTGACCTGTCTGATATTCAATAAGCACTATACCAGAAGTTATATCAGCTGGTTTTCATTAAGGTGGTATGAACACCCCGTAATATGCGCACGTAATTTGCGCACGAAAATTTGCGAACATAGAGTACGACCTGTACCAACACCAGCCAAATGTACACAAATACATGTAATTACTATTTAAGAATATGACATTTAAAAAACCACGTTAATAACATACATGAGATTTCTGAGAATTGCGCGTAGTCATCTCAATTTTATCTCAGTATCAGTCTGCAGCAGCATCGCTCTACACGTCTGTTGGCCGTCCACCGCGGTTAATTAGTTTTATGGTATTCTCTGCTGCTGACCCGAAGGTGGCGGGTTTGATCCCGGCAGTGGCAGTCAAATTTTGGTGTAGGCAAAAGGGTTGAGGCCCATTTGCAGTGTGATGTTAAGACACATTAAACAACCACCAATGGTCAAAATTTTCCAGAGCCCTTCAATACAGCGTCTCTCATAATACTATTGTAGTTTGGGATGTAAATCACACATATTATTATTATTATTATTATTATTATTATTATTATTATTATTATTATTATTATTATTATTATTATTATTATATTATTATTATTATTATTATTATTATTATTATTATTATTATTATTATTATTATTATTATTATTATTATTCGCTTGCTTGTCAAAATAAATTGAAATGAATATCAGACAGGTACTGTGGACTACTGTGTTATATTCCATCCCTCTCGCCACAGTCCATACAGAACCCACGCGCGAACATCTGTTTGCAATTTAAACACTATTTATTTGTCATTTCTATGATTTGGAGCATTTCGTATGCATGGGACGTCGGACTTTATGACCCTGGGGGTTCCGACCGTCCCTTCATAACTGTATTCCCTGAACAGATGAGATATCACTCGCTAGTGCTAAACTAGAACAAAAATCAAGCAGTAAATTCATGCCCTTATATTTCAATTGCCCAACTCTAAATTTCAACATGTGATCACTTTATATTTAACAGTGCAGTAGTTGACCGCCTTCATTTTATTGTTTTTTTCTTCTTTCCTTTATGTTTCTTTAGGGGATCAAATTGATGCATGTATTCTGATCTTATTTCAAGTGTACACGCTAGAAATGCTAGTGGGAGGTTACCTTTAAAACTCGCTCTCATAATTATTGGAAAAATCAAGCCCCCTGGCTGTCTCATAGTGCCAGAGAAATTTGGCTACGTGCTCTCGTAAAACGGTGGGGCATCAGAAATCCCTGAGTGCCAAATCGTGGTGAAAAAACTTCGTCGCACGAATTCCTAATACTCACGGCAGCTGTTCCAGCACGTGGAGGAGGCCATCTTGCAAGTCCTCTCCAGGAGTGAACTTATTGTAGTCCAGCACCATCCACTGGTTGTTGTACCTGGATGATGCGGTTTAGCTTAATCATTTGTCTCCTGAAATTGTAACGAAGTGATCGCTACGAACTGCTCATTTTTCGAATGCGTCCATATTTATATATCAAAGCAGGGGCCACCGAGCAACTTCCTGCTAACGGGCCTCAGTAATGCAATTTTATTATTCCGCAGGGGCCGAGACAGTGAAGAATATTTGATTGGGCAGGAGTGGGGGACGGGGGGGGGGGCATCACTGACCTGTGTGGGATAGTACTGATCCGCATTTCAAGTTCATACTTCTTCTTTTCTAATCCCGGTACTTTGTAAAATCTGTATTCTTTATTGAATAGAACTTCTGCACCACTCTCTCTTCATTTCAAGACGCCCCCTGTACTTGTTTGAGTCGCCACTGGGCGCCAGCGCAATCTTCGTTACGCGAACTACCACAACGGTATAAGCGTTACAATTATGAGCTGTGAAACTGCTTAGTCTAACAAGACGCATAAATATCTACTTATTTACTCACAGATTCACGTTCGCTTACATGGTGTACTTGAGCGCGTTGCATTTCTTCCCCTTCCATCGTCTATTCTATAGACTCATTGCGAAGTTGTGCATTAAAATACGCACCTCTTTATTGAATACGGATTTTCGAAGTTTTGGAACTATGTGCATGCTAGTTGATTCCGAGGAATATACCTGCATCAACGTCCATTTACTACTATTAAACAATGGCCTATATCAGAACTCACGTGCCGCTGTTGTAGCGCGAAAATATATCGGTCCACTCATGGCCATTTTCCGCCAGTCGGTTGGCCACTACATTCCTGATGAATGCCAGAACGGATTCCGGCTTGATGGCCCGATACAGGTCGTCGTTCTCGTTCCCGATAGTGGTCTCCATGGTAGCCTGCGCAATAGTACATCAAGTTATCCGGTTTCCAGCTTTAGAACTTGAGGAGCGTGACCTCCGAAGCTGTACGGATGAGTCAAATTAGCAAAGAAAAAAACAAGGAGGTGCATGATGATGACTATTAGGAGAGCCTCTCGGTTCTTTTGTGTGTCTAATGATGGTACTCCAAATTTGACATCGAAGACCAACTTGCACAGTAAACTGTCCGTCTGGAAGAATACTGGCACAGAATCTTCAACATTTTTGTTTTTTTTTAGTGTCGTGGGGACTCTTCTGGAAAGTAACTAAGTTAGAGTGTGTATCTGAAATGAACCTCGGAAGGAAGGAAAATAGGAGGATAAGAACGGCAGGGAGGTTAACCAGCCTATATGCAGCCGGTTTGCTACCCTGCGCATGGGACAGTAATGGGGAAGTGAAAGATAGAGAGGAGAGAGTGAAGAGAGATAAACACAGCAGATTTGGCAGCACATGCGCAAATGGAAGCTCGGCCATTTAACAAATCAAAGGACACATTTAACAAAGCAAGGAACCTGTGTCGTCTAATACCTTCAGGTGCTACAAGTATACGTGTTGCCTGCTGTCTTGCCAAGAACACAGTTTTTGATGGTAAACACGAGCATTCTCATGACGCAGAAGATCGAAACGAGATGTCGAAAATATCATCCATGCAAATTGCAATTATTCGATGAACGCATTTTCATGACAAAGGATGTCGTTCACTCATATGGCTGGCTGTTTATCATACAACTTTATCACCGCTTTGCATTCTACATCAACTGCTAATCGATCAAGCGTATTAATCCCTTAAATGCTCATTTAAAGAGCTTGCTCCTACAGCTCACGCCCTGTGCGGCAGCCACAGGCGTGTACGCCAGTAATCCCTGTGTTCCCGGGTCGCCGCTCAGGGTCGCTGCTCCAGTCACCTCTCTGGTGGTTCCAACAATGCTCACTATGTGGCACGCCACCACCCAAAACGTCGGTTTTCGGAGGCCTGCGCGCTCACCTCCTCGCGACTACGTCCACTTCTTTCTCGTCGCTTCGTAGGCACGCCAGCACCTGCCAAGTTCCTACGATGAGTGTTGCGCACGGCTACCGATATCCTCCCAAGCCCACTCTCCTGCCCGCTCTCAACCCAGGTAAAAAACGCCTGACAGCTCCACGTCTGCCATTTATGAGCGTTATGCATTTCTCTCACGGCAGTGACCAGTATGGCATAAAGGGGCAGGTGGTTTATGACGTACCGATTGACGTGGCCAACACTATGCAGTGGCGGCCGCGAAACGTGCACGACAATGGTGCCTTCGACGTAAACATCATGCACCGGCTCGTTGACAAGCCTTCCCACAGAAATTGTCTCGCCAAGAAACGCCCCGCGCATCCCCGAGCAAGCTACTCTAACACCATTCACTTCGTGAATATGGCAGTCAATTTTGTTGAATATTTCCGGTCAGAAAGTGCCTCTTTTTGTTCATGATTTCGAACCAGTACTGAAATGTCGCTGGTCGATATTGAAAAAGTATTTTCACCTCATACTAAGTCCAACCAACGGAATAAAGTTTCTATTTCTGAACAATTCATAAGAAACTAACTACCTGCTCCTAATAAAATAAAATCTTATAAACACAACATTTGCAGACGCCACATTTTTCTTCGCTTGTGTAGGCCCCGCACTTTTGGGCTATTTCGCTCGGCAATCTTCGAGACTAAGTGGAAATTTTCTAAACGCGGAATAACGCAAAGCGGCTCTACTGGCGGGCGCTGAATGTTCGCGTCCGAGCTGTCTTCATCATTACCGAAGGACCAACTGAATTCACCGTCATCGATGTCTTCAGGACACAATATAATCAATATCTTCACTCGAATGATCACCACTCGAAGAAGACGACAAAATTTAGGAATAGCTTATTTTCTTTCGTGTACACGGGCCTGCTCTGCCAAGGTCGTCGCCACTGCACGTCGTCTTTCCATACAAAAACCGCACTCCTGCTGGAGGAAAAAACTAAATCCTCCAGCAAATGCTGCCATCTATTGTACGAAACGCAAGGTAAACCCTGAATGCACGCTTCTCCGCCTGAAAGCTAGAGGGGAATCCTATTACGATAGGGGGAGGTCTGCTCATCCAAAGCAGTTTGGTGACATTTCGGGAAGGACGAGCTCTGCTCGTTCAAAGCACGTAAGGGGTAAAGCGAAAAGTGTTTATAATGCGGTAAGCGGAAGCTGTTTTAGGGACGTGCGACACAATACAATATACACCTTGAGGAACCCAGTGCACAAAAAGAATCTGATTCGCATTACACAAAGTTTGCTTTTTCGCCTGCCAAAACCGAATTCACGATGTTTTTCAGCGTGTTCTCATTGACCGGCCAGCTTTGGTAATATTATAGGCAGTATCAGGATTGGCTGAATTTTGCTTATGTGGGTCATTCTACTCCAAGACACTCTTCTGAATACCAGCCAATTTTTCTAATTCATTTAGTAAGCACTGTATTCATTTAATGGGCGTGTGTACGTCGATATCAATTGAATTTATTGACAAGCAATCCCATGCTAGCTTCCGTGCCAATACATTTAAAGCCCGACTGACACCCATGTCGTGCTATTCACGAATGTGACAAACAGGGCAAAAGTTCCGAAGCCGAGCTGCCCTCGGGTAACACGTTGTATCAGCCCTTCCCATGTAATAGATTCCAAATGCTTATGAGTAGATCTTCTGACTTCGGCATTTACGCCAGCAGTAAATTTTGGTTTGTGCCTCAACTAAAAACTGTTCCTTTGCACGCCTCTTCACAACCGTTTACACACCGCTGGGCCATAAAACAAAAAACATCTGCATGACAAGAATAAGTTCAAACATCCGAGGGCCTCCTTATGGGTCATTATAACATAGATCGAAATCACCCAGTCCACACGCACTGTTCTTGTCTGTCACACGAGTGAACGAAAGACATAAAAACGCCCCGCCGCGTTGTGGCGTGTGAAATAAACAATAAAGTACCTGTGATTCTGTATCTTTGTTTCCGTTAGACATTTTTTTACCGGTAAGAAACTTTTTTGAAGAATCAACATGGCCCGTCGTCTCCTCGATGTAATAATTCCCTGCTTCCCGAACCCACGATATGATTATGATGGGTGCCGCAGTGAAAACTCTGGAAATTTCAACCATCTGGTGAGTTCTTTAACATGCACCTAACTCATGGCCTTCAAGAATTTCACCTTCGTTCGCACGGGTGAATAGTACAGCATCATTACCACCAGGCCACCATGAATGATCTCCGCTCAACGTCACAAGGCTTCTATGCTGCCCGCCAACAACGTCTGTCATCCCCTGTACGTTATAATTCTTAAGCTTTTTACCTTCCCAAACGAAGGTACGATAATAAGAGACGTGGTAGTGGAGGGCTCCGGGCATTTCGGCCACCCGGTTCTCTTTAGCACGTGCACGTAAATCTGCGGACATGACTTTGAAACTTTTTGCCGCAAGCGAAATGCGGCGACCTTAGAGCCAGAAGCCAAAAACCATAATCACCAGGTTATTCTGGCCGATTAACCCTTGACATCACAAGGCCTTCGTTTCTGGCTGTCGAAATGTTGTTGCAAATACGTCAGGATTGCCTCACTGGAGAGACGTTCAAGAAAAGCTGGATCCTTGAAAATGAGGGGAAATTGTTGAACTGGGAACGTTACAGCAACCGGCGTTTCGGTAGGTACGTGTCTTCAAAGGCCTTCTTTTTCTCTGTCTTTTTCGCTACGGCTATAGTTTTTCTTTTCCTTTTTTTTAAACGTTTCCACTGTAATCATGTACTTAATTCTGACCGTGGCTTTTTTCTTCTTTTTGTGGTTTTGTTAGTTCATGCCTTTTTGTATATGACGTACGTCTGTTCGACTGCTGTGAAACTGCCCAGTGTACGAAGTGGCCAGATTCCAATCAAGCTGCTCAATTCAGCTTTCTTACCTGGTGCTTCTGGCAACCTTGATGCAAACTAAACTCAATTCAAATTCCAATTCAATCCAAGGCACGTTCACCTGCACTTCTATTAACAAAAGTTCGCTAGTCTAAACGTTGGTTCAAGCAACGTTCATTGTTCAATTATTTTTTACACGATTAATCAGGCACAGCCACGTAGTGCTGCGCTTGTCCACGTCTCTTTACTGTCCTTGTTGTAACCGTTGCCTTAGGCACCCTCCAAGATGTCTCATCAGCAAGCCCAAGCGCCCGCATTGCAATGTGTTTTTTTAACGAATAATTTCGCCTTAACAAAGTCTTAACTCTATAGCAACGCCATGCACTGTCACGTTCACAGTGAGCCTAATTCAACATCAGAAATCGCGTGACGGCTTACCAGACCCGATGAAATGAGGTAGAAGTCATCTCCGGAGAAGATCCTGCCCGGATAGGACGAGAAGGTTGTCGTGTGGCCCGCTATCACGACATCTGTGCGGAAAAAGAATTGTTGCGGCGTATACACACACATTTTCTAGTAAAGTGAGAAAGGCGACAGAACATGGCGAACCGACAGTTCAATACTCTTAAAAGTTCAGACCAACCACCTTCCACCAGTCATAGAAAGATTAGAATCAAGTGCGAATATCATTCGTCAATGACGTTCTGTCACGCCTCTTCGAACGCTATATGATGCTACGTATCAACCTTGAGTAGTCACCTTAAAATACTAGTCGACGTTGCAACGATGCAAGGTATTAGCGGAGTGTATGCCAAGCTTAATGATTCCCGTACTCTGTTAAGTAAAATGGGGTGCCAGTTTGGTAAGCTTACACTTTTTTCGCCAAATCTTTGGAGAGTAAAATACTTCAAATAAAGTGTAGGGAGGCCCTCCAACAGTTTTTTTTTTTTTTGTTCGGGGACTCCTTCTGAAAATGTCGCACTTTCTTATTTGCATTTTATTCTGCGATTCTCTCAATAATCTTGAACTTGAAATTATTATCAAGGGAAAAACTTGCTTCTAAGTGCCACTCGTCTGCAATTCTTGAATGCCAACACTCCAGAAAGTGCATCGCTTCAATAAAGCATTATGTATGTTTGTTGGACGGCTGAGAACAAAGGTCTTTTTTTAAGCATTTTGTATTGTTTCAATCTTGCGTAATGTTCTTTTCATTGTTACAGGCACCGATATAGCTTTTTTGTTTAATAAGTTTGAGACGATGAGGCATTGCTTTGTAGTGCAATGTTTGAACAAAAAAAATTCGAGTCAGAAACGGCCCCCTTTCATAGTGCATACGTCTCGAACGTACGCGCGCCACCGTTGTGACAGCCTCGCACATCATTTGCTCTCTCTGGTACTGTTCCTCATGGCCTCATAGCATCTAGCTTCGTCTGAAGCCTCTAAGCACTGTTTGTTTTTACTTCTTTCATTTCACTTTTAAATAGAATGGGCGGTCGAAGAAATCCTGCCAATGCAAGACCATGAGGAAATACTTGATAGGCGACTGTAAAATGTCCTCTACATTTTTGTTATCACACACGTTCGGTTATATTAATCCTCTCGTGTACAGATATGTAGCTTTCCCATTGATTTGTTTTTCTGCGCACAAGTTTGCTAAATAGTTAGATAGTTTTTTAGCATACGCTTCGGGCTTTTTCTTTACATTGTTCACTCTCACAACAACGCTACAGTACAGCGTATTAGAGCTTTATGTGATCACTGTATGCTAACCTGAATCGGGTGTGTGGCGGTAGGGCAGCCTGTACTTCTTGAGGACCCTCAGCATGCTGGAGTAATGAGTCCACGTGTTGTGCGCGAAGTAGAGGTCCTTGTTTCCGGGTAGAAGCTTGACCAGCGCAGAGCACGAACCCTCGCCGAGCGCCCTGCTCTGCACACGCCGCTTCAGCACCTTCTCCAGGTCTTCCACGTCGCCGTGTAAGTTCAGCATCCTGGTGGATGAGTGAGATCCAAAAGCTAGATGAGCGCGTGGGCGACAAACTTGTATATATTAAAGAATGACAGGGCTCGCGCAATCTTTTAATTGCTGCATACTGTACTTTTAAAAGGTTGCTGTGCCAGCGCCGACACAGAAGGTCGCCCTGACTATTTTCACAATTTCTTTTTTTGCACTAATGTAAGAATTAGGAACAGTTGTGCAAGTGAGTACTTCACTGAAAAGGCTGATTTGTTTCATTAACCTTGTGATGAGAAAGCATACTGTATATACAATGGCTCTTTTCTTATGCCACATGTTGAAGTTATATTAATATTTGAAAAGTGATAAAGACACCAAGAAAATTACAGGGGATATTATTAAAACTGTAATGTAAATTTGAAGAGTGATTATGAAAGCATAACCTGCCGCTGGCAGCGACTGACTGTGCAACCTTCGAATAACGTGTCCGATGCTCTACCAACATAGCTACGGCAGTGGTCATCCATCCCTTTACTTTATAAGGTACTTATGTGCATTTAAATATGGCAGCTCAGTCAGCGCCACCAGTTGCCATAGCGGCGAATGTGGAACTCTATTTCTTGCTTGTTAGCGTCACGTATACGCGATCTTAATACGAGGTGGCGGCGGGCCAATAATATCGAAG